AACACATAATTTTCCACTTTTGTGTCCTTAAATGTTTTGCTTTCAACATTCATTTAAGTTCCCGTTCTATACTAGATAAGGTACCAAGGGATATAACCTAAATTTATTTGTCAAGTCAGCAAATGTTTATTTGGTGACTACCATGTTGCTAGGTACTGTTGTAGACACTTGGGATTTAGACAAGGATTCCTCCACAGAGTGTATATTCCAGTAGGGAGATCACATATAATAGACAATAAGCATAAAAAGTAAGGTATATGTATAATACAAGGTGATAAATACATGGAAAAAAGTTAAAACACGGTAAGGGAGCTTAGGAGTAGGCAGGAGGTGATTTGGGTTTTTAGTTTTGTTTTAAGAGATTTTTGCTATAGGGCATGTGTGCTTACCAGAGAGACTGAATGAGAGAATAAGGAATCACCCACCTGGGGGGATGGCCACACCACAGCTTCTTCTCCTCCATTCTCCTATTGGGGTTTTGGGCATGCATATACACACGCGTGGCATGAGTTTCAAGCTGCCAGGCTTGGGACTTGGACCATGGTCAGCTATGTGGGAGTCCAGTGTCTTAACCACTATGCCACCTGCTGGCTCCCTTATAAGGATTTTAATAAAAGGATGATATAATCTTAAATTTCAGAAGGATCACTCTGGTTATTATGTTGCATATAGACTCTAGGGGTAGAGCCAGGGAGAGCCATTAGGATGTGCTTGCATTGATTTCGGAAAAAAGTAACGGAGGCTTTGACCAGGGTGGTTCCAGGGTAGAGGGTAACAAATGATTCGATTATGATTATATATGAAGGTTGAACAGATAGGTACTGATATACGAGATAAAACGTTCCTCTGTTTAAGGGTGTCAGTATAATGGGAGAGGGGCCAGTAGGTGGCATGGTGGTTAAGGGTTGCTGGACTTCCACATGGCTGACTACATTTCGAGTCTTGGATCTGGTTGCTTGTTTTTTCACTTTCCCTCCCTTTCTCTGTCTGTCTCTGGTAAAATTTAGGAATAATAAAGTTAAATAAAATAATTATTTAAAAAACTATAATGGGACAGGCAGGTACATAATTATTGGGTTGTCAGAAACGTCATGATATATTTATGCATAAAAATATATCATGGGGGCCAGCAGTTGGCGTAATGGCTGTGTCACTAAACTCCCACATAGTTGACCGCTGTTCGAATCCCAGACCTGGTGGCTTAAACTCACACTGGGCGTGTGTGCATGCATGCCCAAGATCCTGAGAGGAGAATGGAGGAGAAGGGATTGCGACATGGCCATTCCCCCTGGGGGGGGTGATTTTTCGCTTGCTTTCTCTCTGTCTTTCTCTGTCTTTCTGGCGAGCACATGCACCCTATAGTAAAAACCTCTCTTTAAAAAAAAAAAAACGGAATGTGAGAAATCATGCCCCATGAGGATGGCCATGCCGCAATCCCTTCTCCGCCATCTCCTCTTGGGTGTGCAAATGCCCCCAGCGTAGTTTTCAAACTGCACTGCCCGGTCTGGGACTCAAAACTGTGAAGTTGGCCACGTAGGATTCAGCTGCCTTAACCTCTATACCTCCTGCTGGCCCTAAAGAATGGATATATATTTTAAAGGTTTTAGTCATAGGGCATATGTCCTCACTGGATAAAGAGATAGTGAAAAGGAAAGCAAGAAATCACCCTCAGGTGGAATGGTCACACTGCAGTCCCTTTTTCTCCAGTCTCCTCTTGGGATTTTGGGCACACATATACATGCACCTGGTATGAGTTTCAAGCCATCAGGTTTGTACTCAAACCATTCAGCCCCCTAAAGGATAGATTTTAAAAGATAAATAAAAGCAGGGCTAGCAGATGGCATGGTAGTTATGTCACTGGACTCCCACGTGGTCGACTACAATTCGAGTCCCAGACCTTGCAGCTTCAAACTCATGCTGAGCACGTGTGTACATGCCCAAAATCCTGAGAGGAGAAGGGAGTAATTTCTCACTGTCTCTTTGTCTTTCCAGCAAGCGCACATGCCCTATAGCAAAAAATTTCTCTTGAAAGAAAATAAGGAAGCAAAGGGCCAGCAGGTGGTGTGGTGGTTGGGATGCTGGACTCTCACATAGCTAACTGTGGTTTGAATCCCAACCTGACAACTTGCTTTCTCATTTTCCCTTTCTCTTTCTCTGTTTCTCCCTGGTCAAATTAAAATACAACTACTACTACTACTACTATTAAAAATAATAATAAATAAAAATGAAAAAAATCACTTATAATTTAATATACTTTAAATAGTTAATTAATGTATAAAACCTTAGTCTCTATAAAAGGAAGCATCAGTCTGATTTTTTTTTTTTAATTTTTCCTATAGGGTGCGTTCTCTCACTCACCAGAGACAGAAAGAGAAAAGGACAGTGAGAAATCACTCCTACAGAGGATGGTCATGCTTCAGTCCCTTCTTTTCTAGTCACTTTCCAGGACTTTGGTCATACATGCACACACATGTGGCATGATTTTGAAGCCTCAGGGTACAGGCCTTGAACTGTACAATCTGCCATGTGGGATCCAACACCTCAGTCCTCATGCCACCTAGTAGTTCATTAGTCTGTTGACTTTTGGTCTTTTTTTTCCCCCCCTTTATTTATGGTATTATAGAATATGTGTGCATGCACATGAGAGTGTGAGAGAGATGAATACCCTGCCTAGGGTCTGGTCATACCACAATTCTCTCCAGTCTTCCACTGTGTCCAGTCTTGAATACTTGAACAACAATGAATTTGAGCAGATTCACAGTAGAACTATTTTTTGGGGGGAGAGGTTTTTGCTGTAAGGCTCATGTGCTCGCCAGAAAGACTGAGAGAGACAGACAGAAAGCGAGAAATCACCCCCTAAGGGGGATGGCCATGCCACAATCCCTTTTCCAATCTCCTCTCAGCATCTTAGGCTTGCATGCACATGTGCCCGATGTGAGTTTAAGCTACCAGGACTCAAACCACAGTCAACTACATGGGAGTCCAGCAACGTAGTCATTATGCCAACTGCTGCTCCAACTACAGTAGAACTATTAATACAAGGCTATAATAGTGTATATAGTGTGTGTTCCACCACATACGAACTAAACTGTATTTACCTATAAACAAAAAATGGCTTTTTATTCCCAGTTATTAGTTACTAAAACTAAAGTCTTGATTTCTGCTTATTTTTACTGTATAATAAATGAATGTATGTACTTTTTGTTACATTTTATTGAAGAGAATGTTAATAGAGCGAATATTTACAAATCATTGTTTTTCTAAGTAATGCTTCTAAAACAAATGGTTTTCTGTCTTGGTATGGTGATTTAAAGAGTATTATCATTTAGGAAAATCAGATGACCTACCTGTTAGCTGCTTACACCCCCCCACCACCAAAAAAAAAAGACTTCAAGGTATATTGTATCAGCCAGTTCTAGGATACAAAAGCTGTGCAGTACTTTGGGCTTTGTGCAGAAAGGATAGCTGCTATTTAACCTGTCCCAAAGGGTATGTGTGGTTGTATCCTAAACCAAGCATGGTGCCTGCTTGTCTGACCTTAGCAATGAAAGTTTAAGAGAGTTACGCCTGCTTGTCTGACCTTAGCAATGAAAGTTTAAGAGAGTTAGTATGTATATGTGCTGCATTTTTATATGTATTAACTTGCTAATGCAGAAGAAAAGAATCAGCTATGATATTAGATTATGTCAGCAAAATAAATCAGGTAAAAATTGAATTCCTATTATAGACGAAGACACAGTATATAGTTTATGTACATTTTTTTCATTCTTGAGACCCTTGGAAAACCGAGGCTAAGCAAGGTCATATCATTAGTAAGTGGTGGAGCAGATAGATTGGCTGTTCGAGTGGGCAACAGTGTGCAGCAGTGATGCGGAGGGGCAAGGAACTGCTGTCCTTTAGACTCCAGATGCTAGACTTAGAGACCTAGATCTTAGGAGGGGTTATTTGAAGTGAGGATAGAGCTGAAATAAGCGTGTGTTCATTTTTAATTTAGTAACCTAAAAAAGTAGGTAATACAGATGCATACCCCAGAATTCTAAAGTGTATAAAAAGCATTTATCTGTGCTGTGCCTCAGCTATCCATTGCCCTGCTCTGTATTACCAGTGTGCTGGGTCCTTTTTCAGAGATAATCTACATGTATACGACTAGTCATGTGTGTGTTTAAACAAATGGCAGGGTTCTATACATAGTTCTGTAGCATGCTGATTCTACTCTGATTTATTGTCTTTATTTTTTGCCTGACATATGTTAGTTAATGTAATCAAATATGGCATTTCCTAGGCATTCCATATAGTTTCTTTCTGTGCCATTTTGAAATGTCCTGTATTTGTTTTTTCTTACTGTTAAACCCTAACCAGTTCATATCCCACCTCTGCTGTAAAACCTTTTCTGTGGTCTCTTTCTTCTGTACTGTGCAGTCTTTTTATTTTTATTGTTGTTGTTGTTATTTATATAGTTGTGTTATAAGTTACCAATTATATTTAGTAACTATCTGGGTGGTAGATACCATATTCATTTGATATCCAGATACTCTCTCAACACAGTGAATTCAACATATTAGATATTCAGTAAATATTTACAGGTGGTAAATGTGAAAGAGTCAAAAAGTTAATAGAAAACGTATATTAGGAAAAGGCTGTGCATGAATTTCAAAAGTTTTGGTACCACTGTAAATGCATATTTTTGTCCAGTTTTCAAAATCTTTAAAAAATACAATGTTAGTGCTATATACAGTAACTGGCTCATGTTATCAGTCCTGAATAAGGCATACTTTAAACATAGCTATTCACTTACTAGTTTATGTTGCTATTTTCATGTCTGAGTTTTTACTAATTGTATTTTTTAAGAGAATTATGTAAATGCAAAAACCCTTCATCATGTAACAGTGTTGTAACACCTTGAATAATTTTTCATTTTCACATGCATATTTTATTTGTTCATTATATATTTTTTGTTTATTTATTTATTTATTTATTTATTTACCTCCTCTGTTGCATAGAGAAGCTGCAACCAGTTTTGCAATTTTCCAAGTCACAAACGGACGTCTATAATGACAGTACTAACTTAACATGCCGCAATGGACATCTCCAGTCAGGTGGGTTTAGGTTAACTGACATGTAAGATAATGAAGCTTGCTTGCAGAGTAGCATTTACTTAACCTGATACTATTGATTTAACTTTATATGGTAGATACTGCTTTTTGTTTTCAAAGGGCTATGTTGAAAATATAGTATCTATCATTCATAGTGTGTAAACACAGAAAAGAAGGAATAGCCTTTCTAGACATGCTTCATTCACATACTTTGCAACCTCCTTTTTTTATTTTGTAGAGAGATTTTTGCTATAGAGGTGTATGTTCCCTGGAGAGACAGCGACTGAGAGATAGAAAGTGAGAAATCACCTGCAGGAGGGCTGGCCACACCACAGTCCCTTCTCCATTCTTCTCTTGGGATTTTGGGTATACACTCCCAGGCTGAGTTTCAAGCCTCTGGGTCTGGGACTCAAACGGCGGTCAGCCATGAGGGAGTCCAGCAACATGCCATCAGCTAGTTCCAACAACCTCCAATTTTTGAGGTTATAAAATATGAAGGTGCTGGTGCCAGTAGGTGGTGTAGTGGTTAAGGCGCTGGACTCTGACATGGCCAATCACAGTCAAATCCTGAACCTGCAGACTTGCTTTCTTGCATTCTTTCTCTCATTCTCTCGTTCTGTGTCTCTCTGGTCAAATTAAACATAAATAAATGAATAAGATTAAATAATTCTTTTTTTTAATAATTAATTTTACTTATTTATTCATTTATTTTTTTAATCTGACCAGAGAGAGACACAAAGAGAGAGAGGGAAAGTGAGGAAGCAAGCCACTAGGTTCAGGACTCAAACTGTGGTCAGCCATGTGGGAGTGTCCAATGCCTTAACCACCACACCACCCACTGGCCTCAATAATTCCTTTTTTTTAAAGAGATTTCTGCTGTAGGGTAAGTGCGCTAGCTGGAGAGACACAGAGAGACAGAGATAGAAAGCAAGATTCACCCCCCCCCCCCAGGGGGATGGCCACGCTGCAATCCCTTCTCTTCCATTCTCCTCTCGGGATCTTGGGCATGTATGCACACACACCAGGCATGAGTTTTAAGCCACCAGGTCCGAGACTCAAGCTTCAGTTGAGTATGGGGAAGTCCAGCGACGTAACCATTACGCCATCTGCTGGTCCCTAAGTAAACCTTTAGAAAAATAATTAAGGGCGACCAGCAATTGGTGTAATGGTTATGTTGTTGGACTCCCACGTAGTTGAGCATCGTTCACTCATGCCAGGCATAAGTGTGCACGTGCCCAAGATCCTAAGAGGAGAATGGAGGAGAAGGGATTGCGGTGTGGCCATCACCCCAGGGGAGTGATTTCTCACTTTCTGTCTCTGTTTCTCTCTTTCTGGCGAGCGCACATGCCCTATAGCAAAAACCTCTCCCCCCAAAATTAAAAGGATTAAGGTACATTTTCTTAAATGATTTAAAAAAACATTTTTAAAGTTATTTTAGAGGTTTTTGCTTTAGGGCTCGTGCACTCACTGGAGGGAGAGGGACAGAGAGAGAACGAGAGGGAAAGTGAGAAATTACTCAGGGGTGATGGCCATGCCATAGTCTGTCTCCTTCATTCTCCTCCCAGGATGCACACACGCTTAGCGTGAGTTTCAAGCCATTGAGTCTGGGACTTGAATTGTAGTCAGCCACATGGGAGTCCATGTAACTGCTATACCATCCGCTAACCCCTAAAATTTTTTTGTCTCTGCTGTATGCTAAGTTTTTTTTTTCCCCGTGGATAGCCTTACCAGTTTTTTGGTTTGCTTGTGTGTTTTTGTTTTTGTTTTTGCTATAGCGTACTCATATTCACCAGAGAGACAGAAAAAGAGCGAGGGAAAGTGAAGCAACCTATAGGTGGGGATGACTGTGCAGCAACCCCTTCTCTTCTCGTTCTTCTCTCAGGATTTTGGGCACAAACACACAACTGCCAAGCATGTTTTTCAAGCCATTGGCTCTGGGACTTGAAATATGCATTTGATTGTGTGGGATCTAGCTGCCTCAACCATGTCACTGGTTGGCCCACCTAATGACTTGATGACTTCCCATTAAGGTGGAAGAAGACAGTTCTCTTCTGTCACTTTTATCCTTCATTTCCCTATATACATATGTTTAAAGTGTGTATGTGTGGGGGGCAACCAGTGGTATAATGGCTATGATGCTAGACTCCCACATGACCAATCACGGTTTGAGTCCCAGACCCAGCTGCTTTAAAATCATGCCATGTAAATGTGCATGTGTTCCCGAAATTCTGACGAGAGAGTGGAGGAAAATGAATTTCAGCATGGCCAATCGCCTTTGAGGGTGATTTCTCATTTTTCCTCTCTCTGACCAGCACATAGGCCCTATGGCAAAAACCTCAAAAAAAGCTAAAACTATTGTTTTTTCTCTCAACCACTCTGAGTCAACATTTGTCTTCATAGTAAACATCATTAATAAACACCAGTGGGGAGACTAATGGGTGGCATGGTGTTTGAGGCACTAGACGCCCACATGGCAAACTGCACTTTGAGTGCCAGACCTGTTGGCTTATGGTCTCATTTTACCTCTCCCTCTCTGGTGAGCATATGCTCTGTAGGAAATTTTAAACAAACAAACATACACTGATGTGTGTTATCCAGTTCACGAAAATATTATTTATGGGCCAGCCCCGTATTTCACTGGTTAGAGACGGGTCCCTCGTGGCCAACCGCAGCTCAAATCCTAACCCCAGAGCTTGAAAAACACACAAGAGGGGGCATCTGTAGGCGTGGTAGTTAAGGCGTTGAACTCCCTCTTGGCTGATGTTGGTTTGAGGCCTGGATCCAGTGGCTCATACTGGGTGTGTTTGTGTGTGCCCAAAATCCAGGGAGAATAGAATAGCGGCTTGCTTTCTCACTTTCCCTTTCTCTCTCTCTCTCTGTCTCTGTCTGGTCAAATTAAAAAATAATAATAACAAATAGAATTAAATAAATCTTTTAAAAAATTATGTCTCTACACACTTTTAATAGAAACTGATTACTTTTCAAAGTTGCCTTGATGAAAGGCTATGGGCTTTCATGCTACTTTATAGCCATAAAAGTTTGGAACTAAAGTAATGAAATAAGACTTTTTTTTTCCTTCCTAAGTATTTGGATGGTTTGTTTGCTTGATGATCTTTTCATGTCCTCTTCCTGTCCCCATAAATATTGTTTGTTTGTTTGTTTGTTTTAAGGTTTTTGCCATAGGGTGCGAGCACTTGCCAGAGAGAGAAAGAGAAAGTGAAAAATTACCCCACAGGAGGGAATCACCACGCCGTAATTAATTCTCCTCCAGGGATTTTGGACACATAAGCAGATGTACCTGATGTGAGTTTTAAGCCATCAGTACTGGAACTTGAACTATGGTGGGCCATGTGGGAATCCAGTATCTTAACCACTATGCCACATGCTGGCCCAGCATAGTTTTATTTTTTAAAAAATTTTTGGGGCCGGCAGGTGGCGTGGTGGTTAAGGGTGCTAGACTCCCACATGGCCAATCACGATTCAAGTCCCGGACTTGGCAGCTTTGCTTTCTCACTTTTTTTCTCGCTCTCACTCTGTCCCTCTCTGATCTAATTAAAATAAACAAACAAACAAATTAAATAAATAAATAAAAACAGTTCTTTAAAAAATTCTATTTTGAAGTATTTCTGAATTAGAAAAGATATTCATAGCTTGATTTTATTAGTTTGTACTTTATTGTTCGTTTTTATGTTTATCTATAGTTTCCTAATTATGGTTTTAATTTTTTTCTTTATAGAAAGTGGAGCTGTTCCAAAAAGAAAAGATCCCTTAACACATCCTAGTAATTCACTGCCTCGTTCAAAAACAGTAATGAAAACTGGATCCACAGGCCTTTCAGGCCACCATAGAGCGCCTAGTTGCAGTGGTTTATCCATGATTTCTGGAATGAGACAGGGGACTGGTCCTGCAGCTGCCACTCATAAGGTATTCTGGATAGTAACTTTTATTGCTGTACTTTCGCAAATAAGAAATTTTGTTAAAGTTTAATTTTTGCTTAACTTTATTGCAAATGCTTTATACTACTTAGAAAATTAGTAAGTCTTGGGACCAGCAGATGGCATAATGGTTATGTTGCTGTAATCACATGTAGTCGACTACAGTTTGAGTCCTGGCCCTGGCGGTTTAAAACTCACCAGTGCCATGTGTGTGCTTGCCCGAAAACCTGAGAGGAGAATGGAGAAGGCGGGATTGCGGAATGACCATCCCCCTGGGGAGGTGATTTCTTGCTTTCTGTCTCTCTGTCTCTCCAGTGAGTACATGCAGTCTATATAAAAAAACTCTCTAAAGAAAAACGGAAATTGGGAGCCAACAGGTGACATGGTGGTTAAGGGTGCTGGACTCCCATGTGGCCAACATGGTTTGAGTCCCAGACCTGGCAGCTTACTTTCTCACTTTCCCATTCTCTCTCTCTCACTCTGTCCCTCTCTAGTCAAATAAAAATAAATAAATAAATAAAGTCAAATAAAATGATTACCCAAAAAAAGAAAGTAAAAGAAAATTGATAAGCCTTAAATATTAATTTTGTTGGGACCAACAGATGGCGTTGGTTATGGCACAGGACTCCTACGTAGTCGACTGCAGTTAAAGCCCTGGATCCAGTGGCTTAAACTCAGGCTGGGCACATGTATTATGTGCATGCCCAGATTCCCAAGAGAATGGAGGAGAAGGGATTGTGGTGTGGCCATTTCTCCTTGGGGGGTGCTTTCTCACTTTCTGTCTCTCTAGTGAGTGCATGCGCCCTATAGAAAAAAATTTCTCTTTTTTTTTTTTTTGGAGAGGTTTTTGCTATAGGGCGCGTGCGCTCGCCAGACAC